CATTCTTATGCAGTGATTCGTTCACATTATATATTACTAGTATTTCAGCCGCTGCACGATATGTAATATGTATCTATTTTAAATGTTAATTATCAAACATTTAAAGATTATAGTATAATTTATCACACAAATGAGAGGAAGTATAAATAAATAATAACAAATATTAAGAGTTTAATATATAAGCACACAAATTATAAATTATTGAAGAGAGTTTTTTTTAGTATTTCTTGAAATTCTGCCTTTCTTTGTCACATATTCACGAACTTTAAATCAAAAGGACTTGTCACCTTCGAACTTGCAACATGAAACTGTGGTAACAGTTTACACTGTGCTATTTCGCATATTTACATTATTTATAAATAACCTTCCATCTTTGATTTTTAAGCCAATTAGCTGACTAACAATTTCTAATAAATTAATAAGCCAACTAGTCGATTAAGTTGACTAAGAACTTCCATACATGCATGAGAAAGCCTCTTTTTAGGCAGGAATAATTACATGATTTATTTTCTTTAAAAGAAGTTCTTAGTTAACTATTCTCAAAAGTAAATAAAGAATAAGTAATTAGTAATGTAGGAACCTCTACTTTATGTCACTTCCAAAAGTCTAATTCTGCTTCCTAAATGAACATGTGAATGATCTTAACCTATAATAACAAATGCATACAAATAAGCAACTCAGCCATTATGATGCCCCGTAAAAAAACAACTATCATGCATTTACTCACATGATGAAATCGTTTCTTTTATTTCTTGTACATGACCCTTGATTAATTGCATTAGTAATTAGTTTAAAAATCTTATCATTTATTAAAGCGACATACTTTTTTATATATTTTGAACATAAACATATTGTAAATATAGAAACTACTAATTAAAAACTTTCGGCATATATTCATTTTTAACATAGTTTTCCACCAATATGTGTTATTGATATTCTTGCTTTTTCAATAGGTCAAGATGATAACGATTTAAAGATGATCAATCATGTATGTCAAAATTGAATAATATTTTTCTGGAATATATCAATCATCATTTATTCATGGGAAACAACCCATTTCAATCAATTCTTTAAAAGGCGAAAATTTTATATTTTCATCTAGGGTTACCGCACAATTTCTCCTTAGCTTAGGATTGTCCGTCATCGGCTTTGCCGAGGGGCGGGGCAGGGGCTTTTCCGGCCTTGTTTGTGGAGTTGCGATTTTCATTTTTGGAATTTGGCCGGGAAGGCTGATTCGGTCGAGCACAGAGGTAGAGTTCGGCAATCTTTGAAGGGCTCGGCTCTGCGATTGGTGGCGACTGGTTCGTGGTAATTCCGACTGGGCGGCGGCGGTTTTCAGATAGGAGGGTACGACTACAAGATTACATGGAAAGCTTTGTTGATAAGTACAAAAATGGTGATTGGGGCAGAGGAAGAAGAGCTGGACCTTGAAGAAGCTGATGTTGAGGATGTGCCGGTAGAGGAGAACAGTCCGGGGTTTCCGGTGGTGGGTGTGTTGCTGACAGATAGGAAGATCAAATTTCCAGCCTTTAAGGAACTCATGTTCTCGCTCTGGAGCCCAGGGAAAGGAATCTCGATTAAGGAGGTTGGCGATAAAAGGTATCCTTTTACTTTCTATCATCATGTTGATATGAAACGTGTGCTAGATGGTGGTCCTTGGCAGTTTGAGCGTAATTTGTTGATTTTGAAAGAAGTAAAGCTAGATGATATCCCGCATAAAATTGTTTTAAATGAGGCTGAATTTTGGGTTCAAGTGCATAATGCACCCTATAGTCTTGTGAACCTAGGTACTGCCAAGCGAGTTGGAAATTTTATTGGCAAATTTATAAGATATGATGATAATCAGTATAGTGAAAAGTGAGAATCTTATATGAGAATCAGGGTGAGTATGAATGTGGAAAAACCTTTGAAAAAGGGCACCAATCTTAAGAAAGAAGGAAGAAGATATTGGGTGGATTTTAAGTATGGAAAGTTGCCCAATTTCTGTTTTATATGCGGTTTAATTGGGCATTCAGATAAATTTTGCCCTCTGACCTATGAAGAGGATCTTGTTCTAGAAAAGAATTTCGAAGTCCAACTTAGAGCGGGTGGTGGAGTGAAGACTAGCCCAACAGGAGGAAGCAAATGGTTAGTGAACGGTTCATCGAGCTCTGGCAGAGACCGCATGAATAAAGGGGATAATAAATATGAATGTAGGATGAGAGGAGAGGGGAAGGAGTCTATATCTGAATCAGCGCAGAGTACAACACAAGGTGTGGAACCTGTAACAAAGGAGGAAGCATCGGGGGAACAGAAACGAAGACGAATATGGGAGTTAGAGGGAGAGGACAAACTCAGGGAAGACAGTATGGCTCTTGACGAGACAAAAAACGGGGAAGGGGCGAACTTCGACCAGTAAGCCCGCCGAAGAGGATTCAGTCAGTATCGGGACAAGAGCTATGGGTGTTCGTGCTGTTCGGCATGCTGGGATAAGAGTTTTTTATTTGTAGTTTTTTCCTTTTTTAGGCATGACAGTTTCATTTGTTGTGGGGTGTGTTTTGTTTTTGTTTTTCCGTGCTGTAAGACTGTGGATTTGGATGTGGGTGATGGAAGGAGTAAGGTAACCGTCTTTGGCTCAATTGTGTCATTAATGGATCAACGAGTTATATTGCTTCTTCTTAGGTGATTAACTCTGAGTCTGGTTCAAGGGACGACGGTTGTCAGGAATCTTTTTGTCGGATTATCTACTATATGAATGATGTGTTATCAATTTAAGCCTATTTCATTTAAAAAATCAATTCTTTAAAAGGCAGGTGCATACAAAATGAGTAATATGCACATTAATAACACAACAAAGTAGTTCACTTTGCTGATTATTCTAAACGATGATTAAAGAACACCCCCTTGAATCAAGGGACTATAGAAAAATAAAAAAAATTACATCATGTACTAATGGCTGTAATAAATTGTAAAATATATTATAATAGAATTCAATCCAAATTACACTTATTTAGTTTTCTGTATCATTTATGTAATCTTTTATTCTAGCACATAAATTAAGTAAAGTATGGATTTGTAAAGTGCTATAACAATAAAAATGATGCAAGATAGAGAATTATAAATTGAACTGAAAGCAATACCCACCACCTTCATTAGCAACAACCTCCAAGTAAACTTATATGCTGCAAAAATAAAAAAAAAATGGACTGGATTACTAAAAGGAATCATATGTTGGGATGGATAAATAAGAGGAATATTTAATAGAATGGAGTGATAAGAGGAATCCAATCTAAATTTACATTGGAATCAATTAACTCATAAAAAATTTCAATAATAGAATAAATATTAATAAGAGGAGTCAATTGACCAAAAATGAAGGATTGTAGCCCCTCCGTGAAGTGGATAAAGAGGGTGTTTGGTTAATGGCCTATCAGCCATTTTTTGGCGGATTTGACCACTATTTGACTTTTTGACCAAATAGATAACTAATTGAGGTGTTTGGTTAATTAACTTTTTCACTTGGCCTTTTATCTCAAACAGCCAAAATTGGAAAAGCTAACAAACATAGCGTTTTGGACTTGGTTGTTCGCAAATTCCCATCATGTCCGCACTGCTCACTTTCTTTCATGATTCCGTCAACTTGCAACTCGTCTTCCATACCTTATTAATTACAACCAAAAGCTTGGAGAAAACCCACTATGATGCCAATAATTGTCTAAAGCTAGAATACTCATAACGCAGGCCACTATATTTTTTTGGATATCATATTTAAATTGCATCTAGATGAAGGAGAAAACTAGTTTGATATTTTAAATCAATAGGACAAAAAAGAATGAACGGATGAACTAAGATGTATTCTTGCACGGTGTTTAATAAAAAATATAGAGAAAACAGGGGTATGAATCATTTGATTGACAATAAACAGGGATTTTCGTAGTACTTTTTTTTGCTTATTATTCCATTTATTAGTTAAAACATAATCATACTTATTAAACAAATGTTATTTGTCCTGCCAAAAAACGAATGTTATTTGTGTTTAAAATTTAAAAACAATGTTGAAATGAATTGTTACTTGTGTTAATAAAAAAATTATTAAATAAAAACGGATTAAGTAGTTAACAAACAAACAAAAATAATTGATGTCCTTAAAAGTAATTTAACAAGTTATCAGTCAATTGCAAACAGTCGTTTAACCAAACACTGTTTTATAAACAGTTAACGTTATCAGCTAATCAAAACAGCCAACAGAATCCGCTGTCACCAATCAGCCAACAGATTCAGCCAACGACCAACAGCCAACAACCAACAGCCAATCGCCAAACACCCCCAAAATCCGGAAAATTGTACAATGTGGATTTTAAGACATGGATGTAAGAAATAAAAGTTTGTTGGTAGAAAATGTAAAAGTTTGACGAAAATCATCCAAAAATTGATCTCTAAACTTATCAGCTTCATTTGAGGACAACCCTTCCTCTTCTTATCATGACGTTGAACAATTTCCACTAAATAGATTTAGGTGTTATCCTTTCGAATTGTCTATATATCGTTGAAGAAATCGATTGGTTCATTATATCTTTGCAAAGAAGTTGAGCTGAGGTTGCTGTGTAATATGTTTTGCACAGTGCCACACCATCCCCTCCAATCCTTATTAGATTAACGGTCCATCATCTGTCTTTTGTGTGGCTGAAAATCAAGATTGAAAAATTAGAACCGAATAAAGCAAAAACAAAAAAGGAAACACAATAAAAATTTAAAGGAGAACAACCCCATATCACGAATCAACTTGGATGCCCTTCACCATAATAAAATTGGGCTTTATATTACTTTTGTAACTTTGTTGCTATTGGAACTTGAGTTTAACTTGGATGCCCTTTACCATAATAATTTATGTAGAGATGGATTGACTTTGTGTTTGCAGTGATTCATTCACATTATATATTATTTGAATAGTTCACTCTTATTCTATACTAAAGATTTAAAAAATATATTTCACATATATACCATTGAACATTTACTCAAACGCGCAACTCACATATAAAAACTAATCTGTTGATATGGAGACATGGAGTAATAATAACAATCGAATACCAAGCAAGTGCGTAGTTAAAAAGATTGACGATTTTTTTTTAATCATAAAAGATTGACGAGATTCATTCTCCTAAAAACATACTTTGACCATTTCTCAAAAAAAAAAAAAAAAAAAAAAAAATTTGACCACCTCTCAGCGTTTCAATTTGTTACCGCCGAAAATAAGTAAAAGTCGGTATGTTTTAAAAAGTGATAAACAAAAAAAAGAATGAGAAATATATACACAAACGACACATGTTCATAATTTTTGAGTATTTTGATATTATCATTAAGGCTTAAAACTCTCAATCTCCAAATTTATCGCAGTAATTTATTCTCTCAATCTCTGGGCACCGCCGGACGTCTCCCCCCTCCCTGCACACACAAAGAGCTCTTCCTCCTCCCCCCCTCTGTATCAGTGTGGTGGTGCTGCTGCTGATGGTTATCGCCAATCTTCACTGTCATTGAAACCCTAGTATCACTATTTCCTCGCTTGTTTTCGTCCCAGGTAACTAATCGACTCCGGCGTAAGTTGAAAACTTTTCTCATTGTATTTGTATTCCGGCCATTTATTGTTCCAGTTTTTATACATACATGTATAAATACATACATATTTATACATATTTATGTATATTACCGACCTGAGTTAGACGTTGGTTAAATCGATCGGTGGATCTGTGTGCGCAGAAAAGATTTCGGTTTCCGCGGGTTTGGATATATGTCCAACCATCAACCAAGGGCTGACATTCGCGACTCTTATCAGTACAGGAAGACCACCCGTCCCAGTAGCTCAAATCAGCATCGCGGCGGTAAAAGCGGCGGCGGAGGGGTGGGCTCTGCCGCTCCTCCTAATCCCTCCCTCTCATCCAGCAGAAGGTGATCTCGGGCTTCTTGTTATATATGTGTTAATTGTGTGTGCCTAGTGTGTTTAGAAAAATTGAGGGTATGATGATGTATGGAGAAGTTAGGGTTCCTGTGACGATTATTCTTTCATGTGTGACTCACTATGAATTGTTTGATCGATGTTTATACCTTTCCTAAACATCAGCTTTAATAGGAAGCATAGTAATGCACCAGCAGGACAGCTTAGGGCTAGTGGTGTGAATGTTACTTCGGAGGGCAATGCTCCATCTGCAGCTCGAGCAGTGCAGAATGGTGCTCACCAGAAACATTCATTGGGTGGTATGCAATCATATTCCTGAATTCTTCTTCAACTGGTGGATGAAAATGTTGGAAGTCTTTATTAGCCACCATTGCGTCTCTTAACCACCTACTGATTCTGTGCATTCCTCATGTATCATTTATCACAATTATTTCAGGTGCAGCCATTGCAGGTGCACCTTCATCAATTACTACTCCTTCCAAGCCCACTGATGAAGCACCTCAAAAAATGGTGCGATCTGTGCCAACTGCTCCATCATCTAGTGTTGACTCTACTGGTTCTGTCTCTAATGCACCGTCCACTCCAGCTAAAGGTGTGCTGAATGAGACTGTTGCTAAATATTTATATATGCTTCTTCTAGAAACATTTTTCTTTGATTAGGTGCTCTCTCCATCTCACAATACTTTGCCGGATTTCCTATTGTGGCCGCCCTAGATAAATTTTCCACTTATAATAGGATAAAAGTTGTGGTTGTATTGGCTTTCTCTCATTTCCATGAACTGCAATTATATATTTCTCTCTTCTCTCCACAAACTGCAATTCACAATTTCCACTTCTTTAAACCTCGTGCAAGACAATGTTGGCAAAGGATGATGAATGGAGTAGATGAAAATAATTTTATCTAATTCTTTAAACTTTTCTGGATTTTGTTTTGATTTTCAAGTTTCGTGATCCAATTTATAATCACTTTTTGATGATGTTTTAGCCCATGGAGATGTATCAAGGTCCTTCCCTCTTCAATTTGGTTCAATAAGTCCTGGTTTTATGAATGGGATGCAGGTATTATAAGTTCCATGCAGTTTGGTATTGTGTTAGTTTGAGATTTCTCCTGATAAAATGTCTTTATGCTATGCCTGTAGGTACCTGCTCGAACAAGCTCAGCCCCACCAAACTTGGATGAGCAGAAACGTGACCAGGTATTGTTTTACTTCCATTTCTTTTATTATTTTATTATTTGATAATTAGTGTATATAATTCATTGATAATCTCCATGTTTTAGAAACTTATGGGAGTGGGTATTAGTAAGAGATGAACCTCTCTCTCCTTTTGGTTTACTGCTCATGCTAACTTAGTCATATTTGTAATTAAACTTTATTATCATCTTCAATGTCATTCTCAAATACCTCATCATTTAGGAACTGGAAACTGATTTGCTTGACACGGAACATATGATCTTTGTGTAAAATTAATGTTAAATTTAACTCCACATTACGGTGCTGAAATTTTCTTTCCATTTCCACTTTCCATGTATACTTACTCTGTAGGTTCACCATGAGTCTTCAAGGGTGCCTGTACCTGCTGCATTGCCAACTCCGCCATCAATCTCTAAGCAGCCACTGCCAAGAAAAAGCACAGCAGTTGACAAAACTAGCAGTGGCGAAGCTCAACCAGCTGTGGCCAGGTCAAAGAGGGATGCTACAGTTACAGTTCCGTCTCCTTTGACCCAAAGCCAAAAGGCGCCCACTGCTACTGCTCATCCTATGCCTGGGATGCATGTGCAAATACCATTTCACCCGCGACCTCACGCTGTTCAATTCGGTCCTCCACAAATTCAATCTCAGGCCATGTCAGCATCATCTTTCCCGATTCCAGTCCAAGTGCCTCTACTTGGAAATCCTCCTTTGCCGCAGCCCATGTATGTTCCAACTTTTCCACCTCATACCATACAATCCCAAGGAATCATTCATCAAGGACAAGGATTGAGTTTTCCATCTGGAATGAGCCCGCAGTTGGGAAATATGGGAATGGCTATACCTCCACAGTTTTCTCAACAGCAAGCCGGAAAATTTGGTGGAACACGCATACCTGTAAAGATCACTCATCCTGAAACACATGAAGAATTGAGACTTGATGGATCATCCGCTACAAGGTCTCATCATAATAATATACCACCTCAGTCACAGTCTCTTTCCTCATTCCCATCCTCTCAGCATAGTTCATATAGCAGTTATGTCAGTTACCAACATCCGAATCCTCTCCCACCTAATAGCGCACAGGGTTCTCAGCCCACAAGGGTATATAATCAGGTCAGTTGCTTCTCCGATCTATTATTTCAATAGCATTTTGCATCACACAGGATGATATATAAGCTTGTATTATCTTTATTAATTCCTGCAGGTGACAGTTAAACCTGCATCTGGTGCATACGGAGAAAAAGAACAGTTACCCCCAGTAAGTTCACCCACGGGAAAGGATTCACAGAAACACTCAAAGCTGCATGGAGCTACTTCTGGTCACCCACAAAGAGATTCTCAGATTTCATCTCATAGTTCTCTAACTGTTTCGAAACCTGGTGATGGGTCAGTCTCTACATCAATTCCTGCGATTGGTAAGCAATCCACTGTACTTTTAAGTTCATGTCTGGACGGTGCACTATCAAGTTCATCTTCAACGTCTGCAGTATTGGTTGAGAGTTCTACATCAGTGGCACCAAATGTTACTGCTGAAGATGCGTCTGAAGTTTGGAAGAAAAAGCCTTCCCATAGAGGCCATCAATCCACGCAGGATCAGGTATTCAGTTTCCTCATTTATTTACTCTGCTTGTCCATGGCTTTTAGCATTCATTTTTATTGCTTTGAGTTTGCAGAATGCCAAAGAATCTTCAAACCTTTCAGTTATGTCTTCTCAGTCACCATCAACGAAAGAAGTTGATATGCCTGATTTGGGGAATAATTTCAGTGTAGACACTACTGAGGAATCGCCACCCCTCTATGATTCTACATTGGATGCTATGAATGCTAAAAGCAAGGGTAGCCCATCACAGTCTTCTTCCAACCCCTCTAGCACAATGAGTCTTGAAGGTGATCCCTTAATGACCGAAAGTTCGAGTAAAAATAACATAGAACTGAAGATGCAAAAGTCTCTTGAACAAGATAGCAATCCCTGTGAATCTTCTTTGGAATCAGTCTCTTTGGAGTCCTCAGAAATTGCCGATCGAATCGGGGAAGACTTTCTATCGAAAGTTACTAACTCGATAGATTATGACACCTCAACACAAACTACTGCTGGAATGGTTGATGATTCTGCGATTGGTTCACTTGAAGGTCATAGCAAAGATCATAGTTTATCATCATCCGTTTTGATGTCAAATGATGTGAAATCTGATGATACACCATCACAGATAGATGCATCTGCTCGAGATGGTCATGTTGGTAGTAAAGAAATTGCTGTTACAACATCTTCATTTAAAAATCAGGAGTCTGAATCTAGGTCTTTTCAGTCTCATTCAATGACAGCCTCAAAAGGCGAAGATGGACATGCTGAAAATAATAATACCGGTTCATTTGCCAAAGAAAAATCTGTGACAGAGCAGAATGCGCAAAAAAGTACTACTACTAGAGTAAAGAAGAAAAAGAAAGAATTATTTAAAAAAGCAGATGCTGCTGGTGCAAGTTCTGATCTTTATATGGCATATAAGGGTCCAGAAGAAAAGAAAGAAATTGCCACATATGTAGAAAGTATGGATGGCGCCACTAATGACCATTCAAATCTTGTTATCTCTCAAGTCACACAAGATTCACTGGGAAAGAAAGACACCATGGTTAAAGTAGAACCTGATGATTGGGAAGATGCAGCTGATGTTTCTAGTCCAAATATGGAAAGTGCAGGAACTGGAGAGCAAGTTGTTGATGGATTCAGGAATTATGGCGATGATAGTAATGCGACTGGAACAAAGAAGTATTCAAGAGATTTTCTACTTAAATTTGCGGATCAACATAATGATCTCCCAGAGGGGTTTGAGATAACTTCCGACATTGCAGAGACAGTGATGGCTGTTAATGCCAAATTTTCACGCGATTCTTACCCAAGTCCAGGTAGGGTAATTGATCGACCATCCAGTGTGTCTAGACCAGACCGTCGTGGAAATGGCATGATAGAAGAAGAAAAGTGGAACAAATTACGTGGATCTGGTGTATCTGTGAGGGATATGCGGCTTGATTTGGCTTATGGAGGTAATCCTATAGGATTCCAACCTGGGCAAGGCAGTAATTATGGTGTGTTGAGAAACCCGCGTGCACCATCACCTACTCATTATGCTGGGGGCATCCTTACTGGGCCGATGCAGTCCATGGCTGCTCCTGGAGCTGGTGTTCCTAGAAATAGTGTTGATTCTGATAGGTGGCAACGTGGAAGTGTTTTCCAAAAGGGTTTAATGCCTTCTCCTCAGGCCCCGTCACAATTAATGCACAAAGCTGAGAACAAGTATGAAGTCGGTAAAGTTACAGATGAGGAACAAGCAAAGCAGAGACAATTAAAAGCAATTCTGAACAAGCTTACTCCACAAAACTTTGAAAAATTATTCCAACAAGTTAAAGAAGTAAACATTGATAATGTGACTACACTCACTGGTGTTATTTCACAAATTTTTGATAAGGCGCTGATGGAACCCACTTTTTGTGAGATGTATGCCAACTTTTGTCAACACCTTGCATCAGAGCTACCTGATTTGAGTGTAGACAATGAGAAGATCACTTTTAAGAGGCTGCTTCTGAACAAGTGTCAGGAAGAATTTGAGAGGGGAGAACGAGAGGAGCAGGAAGCTAATAATACCACTGATGGGGATGGTGAAACGAAACTTTCAGATGAAGAGAGAGAAGAGAGAAGGCTAAAAGCCAGGAGGCGGATGTTAGGAAACATCAGGCTGATCGGAGAGTTGTACAAAAAGAGAATGTTGACAGAGAGGATAATGCATTCATGCATCACTAAGTTGTTAGGTGAGTATCAGAGTCCTGACGAGGAAAATATTGAATCACTGTGTAAGCTAATGAGCACAATTGGGGAAATGATAGATCACCCTAAAGCAAAGGAGCATATCGATTTTTATTTTGATGCGATGTCAAACTTGTCAAACAACATGAAACTCTCATCCAGGGTGAGGTTCATGTTGAAGGATGCAATTGACTTGAGGAAGAACAAATGGCAGCAGCGGAGAAAAGTTGAAGGCCCGAAAAAGATTGAAGAAGTGCACAGGGACGCAGCTCAGGAAAGGCATGCACAAGCTAGTAGAATGTCTCGGGCTCCTAGCATGGGCTCTTCTGTTAGAAGGGGTCCGCCAATGGACTTCACTTCCGGCAGAGGTGGTTCAAGTATGTTGCCTTCTCAAAGCTTGGCCCAGATGGGTGGTGGTTTTCGACCTGTGTCCTCACAGATGCGTGGTTTTGGTGGTCAGGATGTTAGAATGGAGGACAGACATCATTCCTTTGATAACAGGACCTTTTCTGTTCCTCTACCGCAGAGATCTGTTGGTGATGAGATCACGCTTGGACCCCAAGGTGGTCTTGGAAGGGGTATGTCTTTTAGAGGACATGGAGGCACACCTAGTGTCCCCACAACTACAGATGTGCATATGAATCCAGCTGATTCACGAAGAATTGCATCCGGTCCGAATGGCTATAGTCCTGTGCTAGATCGGACAACGACTTATGGACAAACAGAGGATATGGCGCCAAAGTACATGCCAGAGAGGTTTTCTAGTCAACATGACCATCCCGGAACACAAGAGAAGAATATGCCTCATGTGGGGAGTCGGGGTGGCAACTTTGATACGGTTACTACTCCCACATCACCTCTATTGAGAGGTGGGGGGACTAGCTTTGCACAAAGTGTTCCTCCGGATGGCACATTGCCAGTGGAAGAGCACCTGAGAGGCAAGTCCTTAAGTGCTATTAGAGAATTCTACAGGTATTATTAATTTATTATTGAATTCATGCTTTATTATTTTATCTTGTATCCTAGTGTCATATATTTTATCCTGAACTACGAATAACAAAAGATCTTCTGATTGGCAGTGCTAGAGATGAGAATGAGGTTGCCTTGTGTGTGAAAGAACTGGATGCTCCGAGCTTTTATCCCTCAATGATTTCTATTTGGATTACGGATTCTTTTGAGAGGAAGGATAATGAGAGGGACCTTTTTGGGGAGCTTATTGTTGATTTGATCAAATCTCAAGATGTTATCTTAAGTCAAGACCAGCTTATTAAGGGGTAAGAAGTTGTTTTAGTCATAGGCTCCGTTTTTCTTTCAGGGAAGTTGCATGTGGAAAATGTTTGGCCGTGGAGACCTAGTGGTTTTATGTGTAATTTAATGTTTGGCCCACATGAATTCGAAAATCAGAACAGTACCCTGAAAACAAATTGCCTTTTGAAAATATGAAGTAATTTTCTACAAAAGTCAAAAGAAACAAGGAAAACAATATTCCGGAAAATACTTTTCAAGTTCCAACAACAGGAAATTCTTTCCTGCGCAGTGTTCTGTTATCAACACGGAATAATAGGAATATCTATTTATTTTATTATTTTTGTCTTCATCTTATTTTTTTAATCTTTTTTATCATACCTTATCTTTTTATCTTACTTTTTTTTGTCACTGATATCATGTATCAATTCATGTTAGCCGACCCTGTGATCTTTTGGGACTAAAGCTTGGATGTTTGCTGTTGTATTTATACTCCCTCCATCCCTTTTTATTTAGCCAAATACTATTTTTCAAGTCAAAGTTGTTCAACTTTGATCGACTATATATTTATACACAGTACTATTGAGAATATGAAAATTATATGGAAATGTTCTTTGTTAAAAAAACCATCATAAGAGTATAAATTTATTAACTTTCACATAAATATATTAGTTAAAATAATGGATCAAAGTTTATTACTTTTGACTGGAAAAGTCAAAGATCCCTAAATAAAAAGGGACGGAGGTAGTATTTTTCTAGGGAACTTCGTGATGTTTGACCAGAACGTTGGCTGGATTTTCTACAATGGCAGGTTTGAGTGTGTTCTCGAGTCATTGGAGGATGCAGTAAATGATGCTCCAAAAGCAGCAGAGTTTCTTGGCCGACTCTTCGCCAAAGTGATTTTAGAAAATGTGATTTCTTTAAAAGAAATTGGACGCATAATATATGTAGGTGGGTATCAGGAAGGGCGCCTTAGAGAGATAGGGCTTGCTGCTGAAGTTCTTGGAAGTGCTTTGGAGGTTATTAAAACGGAGAAAGGTGAATCCGTACTGAGTGACTTATGTAGAAGCTCCAGTCTGCACCTACACAGCTTTCGGCCTCCTGCTTCTAACAAGCAATGGAAACTAGACAAGTTCCTTTAGTTGTGTATTTGGTAGAGATTCCTGGCTTAGCTCCCTCCCTCCCTCTCTCTCCCCTAGGTAACAAAGCTCATCTTCTCATAGAGATATAATTTTGAATGCTCGCTTCTACTGGATTATGCTTTTAAAATATGTTTACTCTTACTATTTTCATTATAATTATTTGGCATAAGAAGGTGGCGAAGTTAATTTGAGCTTTCTTCTATTGCTGTGTTTCATTTTCATAAGAATGTCTACTTCCTACTCACCCACCATACTTTTTTTATGATGCAAGCGCATGGCCATCTGTATAGAGCTTCCTATTTCTTGAGATTCATCCTGTGCGTGTTATATACATGAAGAGGGATTGAAGTTTGGTTAGTTAGGGAGAGAAAGGGTTGATGGAATGAATCAGATTCTGTTCAAGAAAATAGAGAGAGGGTTGATGGAATAGCCGATAAAAGTTACAGACTGTGAGCACCTAGCAGTAGTGGTGGACTCGGCCCGGGCGGCCCGACCCGGAACCGGCCCGGGGCCCGGCCCGGGGCCCGGTGGGTCCATCGGTTTGGTTTGGCCTGGCCCGGGTGATGGGCGGTCCGGGCTCGGGCCCTGCTTTAGGTGAACCGGCCCGGCCGGTTCGGGCCCGGTTCGGGCCGGATTTTAATTTTTATTTTTTTTGAATTTTTTTTAAGTTTTGGGTTGGATTAGGTATTTTGGGCCATTTGAGGTGGTTTGGGGTTGAGGGGGAAGGGTAGGGGGTTAAATAGGAGAACAAAAAAAAAGGACCAATTTGGCCCGACCCGGTTTGGCCCGGAACCAGAACCGGCCACCGGCGGTTCGGGCTCGGGCCCCAGTTTTCTGGCCCGAGGCCCGGCCGGGCCCAGGCCCGAACCGGCCCGGGTCCACCCCTACCTAGCAGGACTGTGAGATTGACACCCTTGCCACATTATATTTAAGCTTAATAATAATAATAATAATAATAATAATAAGGGAAAAGTAGCAAATCAGCCCTCGAACTAATTTGAAAGATACGAATCACCCTTTTTATAGGAGGTTTTGTCCGACCGTCGCCATTTGGGGCGGTTTCTGGTGGAATATTTGATGATTTTTTTGAGTATCTTCTTCATTAACTAGTTTATCCATACCAAATAACAACTAAAAATTCAATCGAGAAGGCAGTCAAATGATTTTTTGAAATATACCGCGCTGTTTAACTGTGCAGTTATCTTCAAAAATTCATTTGACTGCCTTCCCGATTGAATTTTTAGCTGAAATTTGGTATGAGTAAACTAGACTTAATGAAGAAGATCAAAAAAATTCATCAAAAAATTCCACTGCGAACCGCCCCAAATGGCGACGGCCAGACCAAGCCTCCTATAAAAGGAGTGATTTGCACTTTTTAAGTTAGCTTGAAGGTTGATTTGATACTTTTCCCTAATAATAATAATGATAATGTTGGGGTGTAGTCGTGAAAAGTTTCCATGTAAAAACAAGCACTAAGAAAAGCAGCCAGATGAGAAATGGTATGCATAAACCCAGTTGTATTCACAACTGAGGGCTCAAGCTGAAGAAACATACATACTAATGTTATGCCATACGCTAAACCATTTAAAATCCAAGAATCATTATCGTCTCGAATATATATAGAACATATCCCATTTTTTTTTACCAACTTTTAGTATAAATCATAAAGCAATATTTAGATGTTCAATTTTTTGTGAAATGAGAATAATTTTTGGGGACATCCCAAAATGGCAAGTGAGAATGATTTTTTGGGATGGAGGGAGTAGGATGTATAATATGATACACAATATATATGTCATACTCCCTCAGTGCCTTAAAATTTTGTCAAGTTTAACCGTCACATGGATTAATAAAGTAAAAACTGTGTAGTTGATAAAGTTTTAAGGGACAGAGGGAGTATAAAATAACTAGTTCTAGATCGGTATTCAATGAAGAATTGATATCGTATTGTATGATATAAAATAATTGATTTGGTACGGCACGATACTACATTCTTCTGGTTCTTTTGGTATTGGAATGAATGAGAAAGATTCTTCGATACGAACTAGAAATCTCACGTCCGTGTTTAACCCTAGTTACACCTGCACTAAGTATAATATTGCTCTATAGCTTACCAATACGATAAGAGGTTGTCGACGCGGGCTTGCCTACCACCAGAAGAGCCCTCTATGCAATAATGAAAACAGGTTACTCTAGTAGGAGACAATGGTGTATATATTTGTAATGATAAAATGACAAATGACAATTTCGTAATGACAATGGCGTATATAGTTGTCACTTTGTAACCTGCTTTCGTTCTGCTATAATAAGTTAAACCAGTTTCGTTAAAAAAAACTAGTTAAGTTGAATCAAACATTATGTTCATTCAAACCATGGTCTGGGTTACCACTGGATTGAGTGGATTAGTCGCAGGGCCGGGCCGGGGAGATTCCGTGCCACTGCATAGGTCCTCAAAAAAAGGCCCAATTTTTTAGTAATTGTATTAGCTTGTGCACCAGCCCAAGTCCGCAGTTTGCGTTCAGGCAATATTGCAGCACTGCAGCAGTCGACCGAGGCAATCATCGCAGCTCTGTCCTCCGGGCCATTTACATAAATAATCCTTATTATGTACTACCTCGTCCCAAAAAACTTTACAACAACATCCAAGCCTTAGTCCCAAAAGAAATTGGGGTCGGCTAACATGAATCGAAACATGATATCACCACCAAAAGGAAAAGAAAGAAAATAAAGATAAAAAGATAAGCTATTATTTTCCACGATAATATAAAAAGAGATGAATATACCTAAAAATGATAAAGTAAACAGGATAAAATAATGTTTATATATAAGGATAAAAGGATAAAAAAACAAGAAAAAAGGATGAGGGAAAAAGATAATACGAGATCACTCCTCCACACGAATACCGCCCTCTACTTTACTCTCTCTAAAGCCATACCCTCATCCAACCCAACAAAAAGCATATCACTTCGGATTCCCCTAACCCACATTTGTTTGAGCATTCCTACCCAAAAACCTTTGTCATTTCCAAAAATTTGAACATTGATTTTGATAAGTATAATATTATGGACGCTATAAATTTTATTCTTTTATGATAGTGCTTTTAACAAATAACATTTTCATATAATTTTATATTATAAATAATTTTCAATAAAAAGATAGTCAGTCAAAGTTTTGAAAATGACAAAGTTTTTGGGACGGAAGTAGTATATTATTACACCCCTCAAGCTGTGTGAGAGATACAACACACAAGTTGTGTCAAAGTTAAATACTGTAATGCACCTACCATACTGCCATACACAATGACATCTACAACAAGCTCACCATCAGTGAGAGAGTGGCAGTGTGGCACTGTGGTACGAGTAGCAAGAGGAGCGCATACAACTTTGAGAGAGTTTCAATGTATAGTAACCGAGAAAGAATATCAAATGTGTATTTTTGCAGAAAAAAGAAACAAACATGTGTCAAAATGATGAAGATCACCTAGATCTTTCGTGGAAAATTAACTAGCAATAAGCTGAATGAAAGAACGAATAAGAGAGACAGAATGGTCAAATGGGCTATTTAAAAAGGAGTTATTTCATAATGCAGAGGAACAAGTTGAAGGAGAGATGACGGAGAACCCTACTTCAGCCAAGGCGGCTTAGTCGTCTCTGGCACAACCACCGCCACTGGGGAATGATTGGGCGCAAAAAAACCACTCTTTTGTTTTAGTTTTGCTCGATAAGGTAGACGCTACACTATCATCAACTACTCAATCTTTTACAAAGGTATGCCCGCTATGACTTTTTTGGAAAATTATATTCAAATCTTGGCGAACAAACATAAACGTTCATTGGTTGGTTACTTCTATAAGGGACGTCTACCTATGTCTACTCTACGCAAATCATTCCAAGTTATTGGTTTTAAGGGGGGTTTTCAGTTGGGTCCGTTAGACAAAAAAACATGTATTAGTTCGATTTGATCGGGAAGAGGATTATATACATTGCTGGAATCAACAGACGTGGTGTTGGTGATTTTAGTGTCATCGGCCGTTTTGTGTAATTGGAAATGACATGAGTGTCAATGGGAATTAGAACTATGATCTAATACAACTTAGTAGGTGTGGAGTGCACACTTGTATATAAGAACTAGTTTAGTTCCAAAGTGTCTACGTTAGTGGAACTCGAGGTAGAACTCGAGGTATAACTTTCAGTAGACCAGCTCTGTGGTTCTAGACCGAGTTCTAGAACGGTTAGGCAGTTTCCAGCAGTTTCCCAAAAACTGCTGCGGTTATTCTTAATCGTGTTACAATTGCCTAGGACGATGAATATGGATATATACCACCATATTTCGTACAGAGGAGGTAGAGGAATAATATCCAACATATCTTCATCACTTTGGCACTCAAATTAAAGATAACAATCCATATACTCGACTAGTTTGCTCTAGTTCTTGTGCCTAAGTTCTAGAGTGTCCTTAAGAATTATCCTAGATTGAATTTCTTGTAACCCAGGCACAGGGGAGAAATATCAATTCGGAAAGTGAACTTACACGATCCTTAAGCAATCCAAGTACTCGATTATCACCCCCTACGTGATATACCCCAACAATCGAATTGATATTTCCTTTGTGATAATCATGAGTACCATGGAAGAGATGACATCCAAGTTCAACAAATTGGACAAGTTTCAAGGGAACGATTTCCGTAGATGGCAAAAGAAGATGCACTTCCTCCTCACCACTTTGAAGGTTGTGTACGTGTTGAGCACTCCGATGCCGGAAGTGATGGAGGATGAAACCTTAGAACAAACTAGGAGGCGCAACAAGTGGGAGAACGATGACTACATATGTAGAGGCCACATCCTTAACGGTATGTGGAATGCGTTATTTGATATTTTCCAAAACGTTGAGAGTACTAAGGAATTGTGGAATTCTCTTGAGTCAAAATACATCGCCGAGGATGCTTCTAGTAAGAAGTTCTTGGTGAGTGATTTTAATAATTATAAAATGGTTGACTCAAGGCCGGTTATGGAACAATACAATGAACTCCTTCGTGTTCTTGGTCAATTTAAACTCCACAAGATAGGTGTTGATGAGTCCTATGCCGTGTCGAGTATTATTGACAAACTTCCACCCTCTTGGAAGGATTTTAAACGTTCTTTAAAACATCAAGATGAGGAACTATCATTGGTTCAACTTGGGAGTCACTTGCGCATTGAGGAGAATCTTCGTGCGCAAGAGAATGAGCAAATTATGGGTG